GCGGACGATCAGACATGCACCCTGAATGAACGACCTTGAGTCGTCGTCCTCAACAAGCTTGGTCTCGCCTGTGCGGCCCCGTCATGTTCTTCAAAGTTGTGTTCCGTTGGAGCTCCCGCATGAGGGCCCACGGTTTTTCGGCGAAATATGCCGGCCCATTTGGGGCAAACATGTGTTAGCAGAGTGAAGTTTTTAGGAATGACATGTTCAAGTGGAAAGTTACGGACGATGAGACTCGCTCCCTCGTCTCTTCTTTCTCCCTTCCCTTCCCTCTTCTTCTTTTTCTTTTGGTGCTCTGATCTGGGACTTGTCCCCCACAACTGGACGATCAATGACGGCTGTCTTGTCGATAGAGAGTGTGTAAGTGTGAAGATTGGAGTGCATGCAAGGACCAATGTGTGCCATTTTCTTTCTTGTGAATCATAGTGTTTTCAGTCAAGCTCCTTGTAGCAGCGTGTCTTGGGGAGAAAACAGGACGGTAGGACAACGCGTGTTGGCGATGGATCGTGATCGGACCCCTCGTCGAGCTCTGAGGCCAACTTTCCCGCAGCCGCCGCGCAGCTGGTCACGAGAAGGCTTACCTTCTCGGCCCGCTTTGTTTCAAGGTGCCAATCAGTTGAGCTGGATGCAGCAGGCCCGACCAATTGGTGTTCAGAATGTTACACCTCCGAAGGTGACTCTTCCCCAACAGATGCATTGGAATCCGGTTGGAGGGCTGGCAGTTATGCATCGCAGAGAGGAAGGATTTGCGCCTCCGACACCTCCGATCCAGTCTGGGGGTCTAGCTCCCGTCAGACCGTTCCCCTCCCCCTCCCTCTCCCACGTCACTACCCCACAGAGCCCTCCGAAATCCTTCCCGCAGAGTTTATGCATACAGCACAACACTTGGACTCTCGACATGTTGCCAATTTGCAATTGCACAGATGGGTCAAGCAGACGGATTGGAGTTACCGAAAGCAAATTGCAGGCTGCCCTGTGGATGCCATTCCGCTGCAGGCTGTGTTGTACCAGGGCTGTCATAGCTGTCATAGCTACTGGCTTCGTCACATTGCTTCCTTGCGGGGTTCCGTGACATTTCAGAGGTTGTTTTTTGCCATGCTCTTTTCAGCAAGATCAGAGAGGCCAACTTGGACTTGGACACTCTGGCGAGTCAGGTAGCGCAACAGAACAAAGTATCCATCAACCATGCAGACCGTGTGTCAGCATCGGACGCACTGGCAGCTAAGGTCCTTCAATTTCTGAGTCAGCTCAAACCTCCCAAGGACATGTCCTCTGAGGATGGTCAGGTTGCAGAGCTAAAAGCACAAGTTGAGGCCTTGCAGCAGCAGCTCACTGGCTTCCGACCGGATGTCTCTCCACCCGGTGCACAGACAACGAGAGCTGTTCTCCCATGTGTTTCTCCAATGCCGTCAGCTTCCACCCCAGCGGTCTCTCTTCTCAAGGCTTCAGGAGAGGGTGCACTTGAAGCTGACGCCCCCAGAGCGAGTGTCCAAAAGGCACCCGATGGCTCGTCGAAGTTGATGAAGAACACCAATGAGGACGGACGACAAAATTTATTCACTCAAGGCCTTTCAGAACGCAACTTCCAGTGTCGCAGGCGGGGCTGTGCAGAACGAGGGAGATCCAAACTCGGTGCCTGTGCAGTCAGTTACTCCTTCCGGTCCAGCGAATGTGGTTGCTTCTGTTGATGACGAAACAGAGCTGGAGTATGGCACCGCCAGTCATGTGAACTCGGTTGTGCGGCATCCCACAGATCAGGCCAAACGCTTCTTGACGAAGAATTGGACCCCTTGCCCATCTGACAAGGAGGTTGTCGCATGGATGGATCGTTTGTCGCTTTCCAAGGCCAACAAAGAGAAGTTGAAGACGTGGTTGAGCCATGTGCAAAGGTGGCATGACAAGCTTCCTTCTAATGAACAAGCACGTTTGGACAACTTGTTGGCCGAATGGAATGTCCCCGTCAGAGACATAGCCAAGCTCTCTGCTCGCTCGTTGATTAAGATCTTGGCGGCCGGCACGGTGATGCTGGCTTGACTACAGCAGGTGCTTGGCGATATGAAATGTAGCCGGTCTCGTACTCGGCAGTGGTGGAAAGCTCTTCGCAATGATGTGCAGTTGTTGTGTGGCTCTCACCTGTTTTTCCAGGCCCTGTATGAAGACCCCATGCAATTCGGAGCAAGGATTATGGACGTGGTGTTGTGGGCAGGAGGCAAGAGCTTGTTGCATGCGGCTGATTTTGGCATTGTACAGTTGCCATTGTTGCAAAAGCTTCGCATTCGTAGCTTCAACTACACTTGGGATTTCTTCTCAAAAACCTCAGTTGTTTATTGTCGAGTTTTTCTGCAGCCTGAGCTGCACAAATTCCTATACATTGGGTCTTCATCTCAGTCGCTGGGAGAACGCGAATGGACCAGATGGAGCAAGTTCAAGCAGATCCGGTCTGGAAAGGATGTGTGCGGGGAGTTGTGTCTATGGTGGCATCATACAAAGCACAACTTTCATGTTCCTATTCCGTTGGTTGTGATGCATGTCCCGCTTGAGCATTGTCTACACACGTTGGAACAAACCTTCATCAATCTCTTGGAACCATTGTTGAATGCGCCTTGGACAAGCATGGAGACAGGACGGTTTTGGATCCAGTTCGATGCGTTCGCAGACGGGCAATTTCTTGGAGACAATTCCGCCGATATCGTCGCAGAAGCTTGGTTGTTCAAGGCGTCTTCCCGTCGGTGTTCCGGTCACCTCGAATTGTTGACTCCGTTGTGCATGCGATGCAAGTTTTGTTCGATCTGGCTTCAGATGGCTTGAAAACGTTTCTGGCACAAAAGTTCTTACGAAGCAATCATGTGGATGCTGACACAGTGTATCACCTGTACAGGATTGCCTCTCATCTTGGAGATCCTTATTACGAAAGTCGTTGTCGCGGAAGATTGACTGACGTATTGCGTTTCCGACAGTTGGCTGTTCCAGTGAACTGTGTCCCACTTGCAGTTCCTCTGTTGTGTCCAGGCAAAGTTTTTCTTCGCAGAACAAAGCAGCTCCTAGGGCAGTGCTTGGATATCTCGCAGGATCGATTGCTTCCCTATCACGTTCCTGCTACCAAGATTGTACCCACAGCTCATCCCAAAATCAAGGATCTTCTCTTCAATCATCAGCGTATTGTGTCGACGTGGGATGCTCAATCTTCGTCGGAAGAGGCAGGCTGGCAGTGTACATATACGGAAGTGCTGAAGGCCCATCCTCGATTTCAAACAGTTGACGGGCATGTCGCTTCCAGTGCAACACTCTTGACTCTGCCACCGGATTTGCAATGCATGGCTGGGTCGAGTTCCAACAATACAGTGTTCCCCAACATGGACGAACACTGGGATGTATTCTGGAATGCGCTGTGCAAGTGGACAAAACATCATAACTTGCTGATGCTGCCAAGACAGGATGTGTACGAAGTTTGGCTGTCGATGTGGCAGCTACACACGGTTAATGTTGGTGACAGATGGAATTTTGGTCATGTCAAGCGGTTGAAGGCATTGGTCCCTGGAGTCATCTGGCATGTTAAGGATCATGAAAGTGCTCATATTCATGTGTTTTGCCCAAAGAAGTACTGGTCGATGCTGGATAACACGTATGGTTCCGCCCAAATTTTCTTTCCGGTTCCCATCAACTACAGCTGTGCCTTTGCCCAGATTGAACAGGCCGTTCCCCCTGAAGTTCAGCAGGCTTTTGCGTACGGGTTCCGCTTTCGACACAAGAGTTCCAAACTCCCTTGGTCGTACATTCTGCCCAAGCATAAGAAAAACTGGAAGGCAGGCCGTCCGATTGTTGGCTTTTCCGCTCACCCTGCCAAGAAGTTTCTGACAGTGCTTGCCAGAGTCATGGACGGCTTGGTTGGTCAAGCTGCCCGCATGTTCGAACTTACAACGATGCCATTTCGTTATGGGCTTCTCTTCACCAGTTCTTTACAGGATTGCAGAGTGTGCCTGAAGAAAATCGGCAGGTACGGTTGCACATCCAGGATCTTGCCGGATTTTTTGTGAGTATTCCGATGGATCGCTTCTTGCTCACCACCAAGATTTTGCTGGCACAAGCATATGATCTTGCATTGGAAGATGTTGAGTCGGAATTGCGTGGGGTATTTATGACGGTTGACATGTCTGGTGACACTGCTTGCCGACGTCTCTTTCGAGGCCGATATTGCACTTCGGCTCCCAAGACGTATGTGGTGGACATGAGCATGTTTCTTCGTGCTGTGGAAGTGTCGTTCAAGTTTTCGTTATTCACGGTTGGATCTCAAGTGCTTGAGCAAGTCCGCGGCGCACCAATGGGAAGTCCATTCTCACCGGCTATTTGTCATGCTGTGGTGTCCCTCTTTGAGCATCGGTACTTTTCCAAATGCTTATTGAATCCTCTGGCACATTCCCGGGTGGGATGGATTGGAAGATACGTGGATAACAGGCTCAGTCTTCTTGCTCCGACTTTGGAACAATTTCCTGAAGTTCAGGCATTTCTGCACGAAGAAGTTTACGGCCCACCTGTAATGTTAGAATATGAGGATGGTGACGTTTTCTTGGGTTTTCATGTGCGTGCGGCCAACCTACAGATTTCGTTCGCACAACCCCGCACGACTCCTGGCAATTTCTTCATCCCAAATCAGCAAGTAACTTCCAGACGTTGCTTAGTAGCTTTCGATCCAGAATGCACATGATTCTGAGAGCATCGTGGCCGGCTTCAAGGTGCTTGCAGGACGTTCACTTGCTCAAACTCCGGTACATTCAACAAGGCTTTGACGAAGACAAAATCCAGTGTATCACCCGAAATTTGTTACGCAGGTCGCAGTTCGCGCGAAAAAACGTATGCACTTGCAGTTTGCACCTGGGCATGATTGCGTTGCATGTAACTTGAGTGATGTGGCATTCGCTTTATTGTTTCCTTAATCAAGTGTCGGCTTTGTGAAGTGTGGTGTCTCGTAGGGTAAATATCTTCCTGCCGTCTCAATTTTGAAGATGGCAGACCAATCGTCCAACTGGCCATTGGATGAGCAGCGGCTGAATCTGTTCCCGAAGAGTTCGGGCCCGCCTGGTCCGCCGGACCTCAGTCTTCAAGCCTACATTCGACGAAGGGTGGGGTATGAGGTGGAAGCGGCCATGACGGAAATGAGAGCGAGACAGGAGGCCAGCCTCCCCAGTCGTGTTGCTTCGTTTCTTCCTGCTTCTGGTATAGATGAGCCTCCCTTGCCAGTGTGGGCCCAACCTCCCGATGATACGCTGGATGCAACGACAGCAAGGACAACTTTGTCTGCTCATCGGCAAGATGTGACGATTGCGCCTTCGGCCCGTTCCCCTCCCCCTTGTCCTCCGCCGTCTCTGTTGACGTTGGCTGCCGGAGGTACTTCGCTGACCATTCATGATGCCAGCCTGGCAGAGCGCGTGTTGAGTCGCGGACTACAAGCTTTTTGTGAAGCAGCTTCGTCCTCCACGAGTTCTCATCGGAACAGACGTCGTCGCAGTGAGCGCTCTCGTTCCCGTTCTCCCTTGGTACGAGTTCGACCGCCCCAACATCCACAGGGCCTCGGTTCAGGTCAGAACCAAAGTCTCCCCGATTCATATCTGGGTTCACAGGCAGCCGGCACATCTACAGTCATCGCGGCGTTCTCCGACAGTGTGCTTGCTCGTGGGCCAGCGCTTCCTGAGCCATCGGAAGTCTGGCATCCATTACCCACGCTACCGAATCAGCCGGATATTCGCTTTCAGTATGTGGGATCCCCGGCAATGTTGGCAGGAAGAACAGACGTGCAGCATGTGATATGGCCTTCTTTTCACTGTCTTCACCCGGTTGCAGGCCTAGTTGTTGAACATTTTGACCCAGCCAACACGAAAGCTTCCCATCCGTTGTGGAAAGCTGTGCAACGACTCTTGCAGTTTTTCCGATCCGCCATTCTCAATGATCAGTTCAGGATCAGGGCAGCCTTTGAGATCAACTCCCCTGCCCCGCCTTTTGGAGGAGCGCAGTTGCAAGAACGTTGGTTAGCTGCAGTGTTGTCGTCAGCCGATGCACAAGCCCGTTACAACTGAGCTGATTTTGCGCATGGACCGAACGTGACGGAGCAGTTGAACAAATTCTGCCGCATGTTGGCTTCGGTTCCGAACAGGGGTTGTCAGCAAGGTGGCTGTTGGAACTAGTTGGAACCTGCAGAAGAAACACCCGGCTTCTTTCCGCCTCCCAAAGGGATCTATGTGGTTTTTGCCGTGAACCTTCCAGATGACCCTCAGACAATTTCAACTGTTCCGGGCACAACACCGTGGTGCAGGATGCGGCCTGCATTTTGCAACAAAAAACGGTGCGGCCGTCGTTCTTTGATTTCGGGGATACAACGTGGCCACCATCAATCGGATTCTATTGCAGGCTCCGTTTCCCGACAGCAAGTATTCGCCGACCCATCATTGATGGCACTGAACCGTCACACATCAGTGCCACGGAGGCCGCCATGTTGAACGCTCGCAGGTTCGGTGGCAAAGAACGGGACACAAGACCGGTGTGCGTCTTAGGCTGGGTGTATGTTCGACAACATACACACATCAAAGCAGCGGGCGGAGTTGCTGATGCAGTGTTCGGCCACGTTTACGACCTTACCCATGGCCAAGACGGTAGATGGCCAGCAAGGTCAGGCCGCAGTATCGTCTGTGGCGCCGCTACTTATTGGAGTGAGTGGTAAATGTGGTTGAGTTTGCAGGTTTTGTTTAATCATCTTGTTTCATGTTCACATCTCATGGTCGACAATGATCACTCACGGATGGTTGTTTTGCGCGACCGAATCGGATCTTCCCAGAAGAAAAAAAAGGGACGTCAGTGGTTGAAAGTTGTTGTTTGCATCTTTTTGACGATGTGCATGATCTCCGAGCTTGTGTGCGAGTGCCGCTGTTTGGTTCGTTTTTCTACAGGGCTAGGTTACGCCGAATGTCTGGTTTGGAGACTGCTTTACTATTTTACTGCGATGGCTATCAACGGAGGTGACTGTACATGTTTGCAGTGTTACCGACACCACTGATCAAGACAGGTGGGTTGACGTGCATCTCTTAGCTGCATTATGCAACCAGTTGGAACAATGGAATGTATCATACAATTGTCAAGCCAACCGATGGAACTTTCGTGAGCATTGTTGGATCCGATTTCGTTCACCGCTTATTGACGGATGGTCAACTCTCCGAAGTGTCAGTCGGACGGCTTGTCGCACAGCATTTCTGCATTCAGATGTATGTGGGCACATTGCTTTGGCGAAACCAGCGCAAGATTGCTGGCATCCTACAATATCTTCTGGATATCAAGGAGGGCGTTTTGCAGGTCATTATGTGACCCTGACGTCTGATGGATTTCGGCAATGCCAATTTGTTAGGTTGACTCCTTTTTGTAGGATTCAGCTAAGAACGTGCTGGGACTTTCTCCCGCAGCGGGTGCCCGAAGAAAATTGGATGCTTTGGTCATCATGACAGTGTGGATGGCGCAGGTAGGTTAATGCCGACCTGTCTGACGGGTGACCAGAGATGGTGTGTATGTTGCGAGATGGCACTCGCGTATACTCATACCTACTCGATCGCGAGGGCTTAAAAAAGGAATACGCTGTTGCTCCTCCAAAATAGGCTCAGACCTCTTTGGCTGCAAATGCGTTCGTTCGATTGAACTGTGTCTGTAGGATAGCCTCCCCGCAAGGGGTGTTTGTGTCTTCTGCTGTACATGCGAACTTCCAGCCGTTCTGCAGTCAGGCATGGTGCTGAATCACTCTTCATGTGACTTCTGAACATGATTTCTGTGAAGTTTTTCCCATGGTTTTGTGATACTGCAGGGGGCGCCTGAGGCCAGATGGGTCAGGTGCCAACGAAGACACCCATCTGAGCCTGTGATATCATTCCGGGACGCTGGAATGACGTACCTGCCTTTGTGTTGGAAAGTCGGGACCTTTTCGTTTTACAAAAAATCTGTGTGCAAAAAGGTCGGGCCCCCAGATCATCTTTCATGACATGCTGGATAGTGGCATGAGTGAATTGTCAGATGTACAAGTTGTTGGGGACATTGACATGACAGCGTAAGAATCTTCTGGGTGATGTACATTTCAAACACAATAGCTCATTGCATGAGCGGACGATCAGACATGCACCCTGAATTAACGACCTTGAGTCGTCGTCCTCAACAAGCTTGGTCTCGCCTGTGCGGCCCCGTCATGTTCTTCAAAGTTGTGGGTAAGGGTAAGGACGGTGGGTGAGGGTGGATAATGGTGGCAATTTAGGTGGTAAATGGTAGGAATGATGGGTATTGGTGGAATGGCGGGTAATGGTGGTATTGGTGGTTAACTGGTGGGTAATGGTGTGTAATGGTGTGCAGTGGTGGAGAAAGCTGGGAATGGTGGCAATTGTGGTCATACCCAGCTGGCAGTTTTGTTTTGCAGTTAGTGTTTTCAACGAGACATATTGGAGCTTTTGCGTGCTGCTGCATGTGCTTGTTGGAAAATGGTTGGGCGCTTGACAGGTTTGCTGCTTGCTGATCACCTTCGACTTCAGCTACTACCCAAGTCCTAGCACGCAAGAACCAGTTTGTCCCAAAACAGCCAACGTTGCAATGTTTAAACTTGGAGAATTTGTGTGTTTATGTGTATTAACAGCAATGCCAGAGCATCCTAATTGTTCGTGTTTGGGATCTTGTCAAAACGGTAGAATTTGCACTGAGAAGGTTCCATTGTCGTTGCTCTAAGCCACAATCGGGGCAGTGCATAATACTTTCAGCATTTAGGGTTGCAGGGATGGGATTTACGAAGTTGTCTGGAATTTGGCCTAGGCATCAGGCATCAGGAATGACTGCCTTGAAAAGGCCAGGCCTGCACTTGCACTCTGCAAGAACTCACGGATGCTCGACTTGTTACCATCCTGGAGGCTCGTGGGCAAAGAGCTGGAAAGATTTTTTTGCCGTCTGAATGCTATAGTGGAAGAGATCATCGCAGAGGTGCGGCAGCATCACCAGCTCAGCTTCCATGTCCGGCCCCGTTCATGCCGATCTGTGTCATGCCCAAATGGAACAAGGCGAATGTGTTTATTCCTTTTTTTGTGTGGCTTAGCCCAAAGTGCCATCATGATGTCAAATTTCTTCCAATCATCGCCGTTGCCGTCCGCCAAAGTCTTTGATGCTGCGCTGGGCTTGGGCTTCGGGCCCTTGGCCACAACAGTTGGAGTTGAGCCTTGCACTTTGAAAGATTTTGAATTACAGATGCGTGGCTGCGTAAGCACCCTCCTATATGCACATGTGAGAGTGACGTCTGTGATTTTGGAGTACTTTGATTGATATTGTTGTGTTTTGGTATGTTTTGTTTTATTTTAACTTAAGCTCAGGGACATAAGTGCATTTGCATTTGTTTTGAGCTAGGAGTGCCAGCTTCAGCAGAAACACAACGCTCCGTTCAGATGCAACGTGGTTTGCGAGCTCGCAATCATGATGCACTACGTTATCACTATGGTGCATTCCGTGCCTTGCATTCTACGGATTCTACGGCCAAAGCGTTGCTCCAGGCCCTGCATGCGTAAACGCTAAACATGTTCTTGTTGATTCCAACTTCCATGGGTTGAAGACCCTAAAACGCTTGGACCCTCGTAGCCCGTATCTCGGATGTCCTTCTGTCGGATGCAGCTTCGGCTCCGGGGCGCGGGGGGGGTCGCCGTTTGTCGCCTGAGCCGCGGGAGAGGCCAGAGAAGCGCTTCTCAGTGCGGAGCCTTGCAGATCCTTTTCTTGGGGGGTTTGGGGTACCTCAAATCGTTAAATCTTGTTCCTTGGATCCTGGGAGCATTTGTCGTTCTTCGGTACAAGGCCGTCAGATCATTGTTTATGAGCTGCAAAATTGGGAGAGAGTAACAGAGGGAGAGAGAGGCAGAGAGAGAGAGAGAGAGAGAAAAGGGGTTTGGTTGGCATCACTGAAGAAATAGTCGCCACGCAACAACGGCTTCTGGGGAGCAGAGTGGTTGCTGGTTTGCATTGTTTGTGTGTGTAACGCCCAGTTTAAGCCTTGTTGTTGTCTGGCTGGGGTGGGATTTGCAAGGGTTGGCAACGGAGAGGCTCGACCAGTGGTGACTCGTGAGCTGATGACTCACCCAAACACTGAAAACTTACGGCTCGGCAGCCTGAAACCCTCAGTTTGAGAATTCATAAACCTAGTGGAGCGAGACTCTTGCGGACTCTTTCGAGAAGGAAGTCGGAAGTTCTTTGCAGAAAAGTAGGCAGATTGCCCGGACCCCCAATTCATTTAGTAAGAGAGAAGATAAATCTTCGTCATGGTGTTCTTGCACCAAAGAATCCCACTCCAAAGTCTGTGCTCGAGCCGCTGGCGCAGGTGTTGCCTGATGGTTAAATGCTACGTTTGCCGATATATCGAGGCCATCAAGACTCCATGCCAGGGCTACAAAGAGCCCAACATGTTCGCGGTTTCCAAAGTCCAGGAGCTTGAGGATGTTAGTTTCGTCGTCGGATGTACTGCGCAGGGCTTTGTGGCTTTAGGGCTTTTCCCGAGGTCCCCTTTGTACATCCTTGGTGTGATTGAAGGAATCCAAGAGCCCTAATGTGGTCGCTGAAGAGTATTGAAGTAAAGTGACGCACCTGGCCTTGCTGTATTGCTTAAGCGCCCTGCGGAACCTTCCCATGTAAGGGCTCGTCTTGGGAGCTCAGCCATAGGTGGAGAAAAAGCCGGGAGAGTGGCGAGCTGCTTGTGACAGGCTCAGGGTCGGGGGTTCAGACTTCAGAAGTTGCTGAAAATTTGTTAACGCCTCCTGTTACTGTGTGTGGAAAGAATTCGAAATTGTGGGATCGGGCGGGTTTCGGGTTAGGATTTAGGGTATTTTAGGGTTTAGTGGTTTAGGCAATTCAGGGTTAAGGAGTTCAGGGTGTAGGGACCGGGGTTCAGGGTTTATAGGGTATTGGCTTGGGGTGTAGGGCTTTGTGTTTAAGGTTAATGGTTGCATGGTAGTTGGGGTTTAGGGTCCCGCTTGTTTTTTTTTTTTTTCATTTTTTTTTTTTTTTTTTTTTGGGGGGGGGGGGTGGGGCGTTGTCTGTGCGAGTGGCTGGGTTGTGGTGGAAATAGCATGAGAAAACAAAGTCACGATCCACAAGATGGGATCATAGAACGGCAGCAGCTCTGCCATGATAGCGTCCCCAACCACCCCAAACCCTGAACCCCAAACCCTAAACCCCAACCCCTAAACCCGAACCCTTGATCCATGAACCCCAATGCCTGCACAATCCTGACCCCGAAACACCGCACCACAGGGGGGTTGGGGGCCTGGCCCGCCCAGGTCATGGGGGGTGTCATTGTGAAACTACCCTAAACAGGTGCGCCGAGCTCCTGAAGGCTCCGCCCTGCAAGGCCTGCGGTCAACCGGCCGCTCGTCAAGGCTTAGACTTTTAGGGTTTTGGGTTTAGGCTTTAGGGTTTAGGGTTTAGGAGTTCGACTCTTGTGTTGTGCTTGCTGTTACTAGTTGTCCATGAACAGCTTTTTCCCGGAAGCAAGAAACCCCTGCAAGCTGACTGTTTAGTGTGGCTCGGATCCCTTTCCATTCCAACCCTTGGCCAGCTGCCACCCGGAATTCTTCCGATGCTGAATCCGCCATGCGTCCGCATGCATTCCCTGAAGTTCTTCCTAACAGTTCCTGTTGCAACCAAGGTGCGGGATGCCAGGACTGCTGGTTGAATATCTCACTCAGAGTTGAGGAGTTTTGGGGGTAGCTTGTGCAAAGCCCCCCCTGTAGCTCCAACAGAGAGCTTGGGCAGTAGCGTGTGTCTTTCTGAGGGCACCTCGCCTCAGCACAGCACCAGATGCACCCACCCACCCACGACCTTTGACCAACATGCTGCAAGTGCTTCCTTGTTTGACCACCAAAGGGCCCCTTGAGGCCCAAATGCCCCATGTGGCTTCAGGCTTTGTAAAATCCCTGGTGTTGGGCATTTCGTGCAACTCATCCAAGCAGCTCTGCCAGGAAAAACGATCCGAATCCCTACCACGAAGAGTGCCGACGGTGTAGCTCCTGCCATCAGAAGGTCAGCAGGCGCGGGGTTGGGATTCAGGAGTGCTGGAAGACGCAACATTTTGACCGAAGTTCCAACCCTGAGTCGGCTGCCCCCAGAAAACCGAGAAAATTTTAAACCCCAAACCCTCCCAGGGAGGGGATGCACATGACGGCTGGCAAGATCTTGTGCGGCTCCTGTCGGGACCCGAGCTGGGTCTGGGTTTCCCGGATTTCGGGCTCTGGAGTAGGAGAGACTAAAAAAAATGAAAGAAACATGTGTAGCACTTTTCTGGTAGGGCCGGCCTCCGGTGCAATACCAGTGATGAGCGCAGCGAGGTGACGTTCTCTTTGGCGAGTTCTTCGTCTCTGGGAAGCGGAATGGTGCCGAATATATGAGAGAGGCCGTCTGCTCACGATGTACCTGACTCAACAAAGGCTTCTGGACATGGAGCCGGCCACATCATCTGAAACTCCCCATATTGCACTCCGACCTAAACTCCCAAACCGCCTGGACCCAAATCCCGAAATCCCGAAATCCCGAAACTGAAGCCTTCTATTCGAGCCTCAACCCTACAACAGCCTTGAGCCCAACTACTTGGGCCTCAGCTTTGGCTTCAAGGCGGCACAGACCTGGCTCTCGCTGGGCCTTCGCGCTGGGTGCTTTCGTAGAGAAAACAAAACAAAGTATTTTAAGTGTTAGGGCCTGTTAGGGCCTGTTAATGTGGTGAGGTTCAGGGCTGCCAAGCTTCAGGACACGTTCATGGTTCGACCCGGGGGGCGATTTGCAGACGTTATAACCAGCCGTTCTGTGCCATGGCGCTCGGTCGCCTCTGCCTTTTCCTGGTCGGGCGCGCGGCCGGCCACGGTGCAATGCAGCTGGGAGAGGGTTCGAGACATGAGTTCAGGATTGCATTGGTTTTCTGCAGGTCGAACCTTCGTCGCCGTAAATCACATGAAAATTGCAGCAACCCCAACTGACTGCAATCCGGGAGTCAAGGTACGAGCCCCCGACGCGGAACAGTGCGGGGCTCTCCTTGCTGTCGCCCACTTGTCCTGGTGGTGCGTGCCAGTGGTACAGCCAAGGCCCTGAGAGGGCTATGTTTTTGCCCACTGCATGCACCCCAAGATCAAAATATGACAGTGCTTAGTGCTTGCAGACCAGTACACATCTTTAATAACATATAGTTTTATACTTGAAACAAAGAATATCAGAGGCTCCGGGAGCACACTCTTTTTCAGGAATTTTGTAGTATGTTGGAAGTCTGTGTATTCAAGTGTATGAACGTGCGTAAGAATGCAACGTCTTGTGACCACCGTGACAGTCATCTCCTTGGACAGACAATCAGGTAGGTAATAGCTGCATGACAAGTCAGATTTTTGTCTCGTTTTGAAGTGACTTGCGTGAAGCGAAATTCAGCAGCAACACGCCATAGGTCACGCGAATTTCGGGCCTTTTCTTAGAGACAGTTTCTGTTCGATTCTTGACCGATTTGCAATTCCATCACGTGTGTAGTTTGCTGAAGATCGAGCGGAAACACCACACATTGGCTATCGCCAGCCACTCGCTAAGAATTATACTCGCAAAGGCTTAGGGCCGTATTTGTGATGAGATGGCACGAAGGCACTGTTTTTGCAAGAGGAGTTGAGTCCTTTATTCTTCATACGCTGCATGAATCAGAAAGGTCGTCTCCTCCACACGAAAACAGCAAGCCCCTCCAGCTCTGACACAAGCCCCTCCAGCTCTGACACAAGCAAACTTTACGCGGACTGAATAGAAACTTTTCTCCTGAGTTCTCACACAGGTTCCACAATATTGCCATTCGACATGAATTTTCATGCAGGGGTCCCTACATCCCTTACATGAACGATTCTCGAGGGGTTTTACTGAACCGTTCATGGTAAATTTTCCATACAGACTCCGCCGTATTGGGATTCAGGAAACCATTGCTACAATCTCTTACTTGGAACTTCCTTGTTAATCAATAGGCTTGTAAGTGGGTGTATTGCATTGAATAGTAGAACCGCAAAGGTTTTCATTGCCGATCTTAGGCTGCACACACGGTGGATTTGGTAAAGCACGAGTTTGAATCAACATGAAAATGCTGAACTTGGCACACAACCCTTAGAAATCCACCCCCCCCTCTCGACAAGCAAACCTGGAATCATGATAGTTTTGGTCATATGGCCAGTGGACCCTTTCAACAACATTCTTTTTGAAGGCATCTTCGTATACTCTGGACATTCACTCCCTGATGGCAAAGCCTGGAGTTTGGATATTATTGTTAGCTGTTCATTTCCGAAGCACAGCAAGCCGGAGCAATTCTTAAGCCCTTAGATGTCCCGTTGATGAAGACGAAGAACAGGAGTTCTGACTCGCTCCTTTCAGCGACCCCTCTCTCCAGCAATTGGTGGGCTGCAAATTGCAAACTAACTTGCTCTCCTTGCGACTCTATGAAAACTTAAAGGGCAGGGATTGAAATACACTTTTCATATTTTACTCGGTATTCGTTCAGATCTGGAGATCTCCAGAAAGTCGTGAACTTCCCATTGCATATGCGGCAGCTGCTGCTGCTGCTGCTGCTGCTGCTGCTGCTGCTGCTGCTGCAACTTCTCAGGATTGTTCGTTCAAGTGGATCTTATTCAACTCTAAAAATTTCCAACTTGGAGCCCATCATATGTCTCCTGGAACAGGCTAAATTCTTATTAACTTGAGTAACATTACATTCTCTGGTGCAATTTCAGGACGCTCCAAAATTGGCTGGCTTCTAGTTCGGTATTTTTCGGTATTTTCCAGGATTGGTGGGCTTGTGTTTGTAAGGCCGCCTTCAGCCCCACTGGTGCAGATTGTGGGGAAGGGGTGAGCGCACATACCATGTGGAGTTATGCTGTGTGGCGGCCTTCTTATGTGCAAACTTGCCTAGAATGTTAATGGGCAAAAGAAGCCTTGCAGTTTCTTGATAAGAAGTGAGAGGACTTCTCTTGTCCTTCAAGAGAAATATCAACGCAAAGTTGTCAGCAAGCAGGCCCATCTGAATACAAGAGGACACGCGAACGGTGATCCATCCTCGCCAGAAGCAGACCTAAGCTCAACCTTTGCTGGACGTTGCATGAATCCTCCACATGGAGCAAGTTCGAGAAGCACACGTAAGCCCACAGTACACATCTTTGGATTTTGTGCTTCGCTGCTTCATCAAGGCAAAGCTTCAGTGTTTTTTTTCGGCCCCGGAAGTGACAGGCAGCACCATCGGCTGCCCCAAGATCTCCGGGCTTCACGTGCCTGGCAACGTGCCTGTGCCTGCAATTGAAATGGGGACCCCCAACTCTACAACGAGAAACTTGTAGAAGGTTTGCGATCTTTCCAAAGCATGCCACAACGAAGGCAGAGCTCCCTGAGCTCGAGACCCGATGCCGATGCCCCTAGCCCCGAACTAAAATCATGTACCTCCACACACACAATCGCCCTGTGAGGCCTGTGACCATCCGGCGGAGCCGACGTTGACTTGGGGACTCTCTGCTTGCCATTTTTTGGTTTTAGGGCCTGAGGCGGGACCCACTGAAAACACTCTTCTGAGCCTACTCGCACCTTTTTTGGCTTGGTTAAGCTTGTGTAGGGTATAGTATGGTGTGGAAGGGTTGCGGAGATGGTCTGGGATCTCTCTTCAGATTTTCTCACATTCAGCGTTGTGTGGTATGAAAGAGGTTCAGGGGTTCTGGAAGACTCAGCTTCCGAGCTTGGGCTGCATCATCTCCGCTTTACGGTGTATGTTGGGAGGTCTGTTTTGGTTCAGGTAAAAAATGGTGTAAAGGTTTTTCCTGGTCGCACCGGACAGGATTTAGAGTGGTTGGGGGCATGAATTTCTGGGCATCACCGTGTCCTCAAATCTTGTGCTTTGGACCTGTTGCGCCCAGAACACGATGCAGAGTTCCTCCAGTACAAGGATGATGGCTATGGAGGCGACACTAAGTACCATCCCTGGCGCTATCCAGGCAGGGTTTGAGTGCTTGTCAGGGCATTGTGTAAATTTCCATGTCTCCAGACCCCACGCAGACCGTCTTCAGCATCTTGAACCAAACGTGACAGCCTTTACAGTTTTAAGCCGTTAAGCCTTTCTGACACGTGGCGGCCGAGGGCTCTACAGGGTACCAAGGCTTCAGGGGCTTCGGTGTTTTTTTGTTCGGTAGGGTTTGGGGGGAGGCTCAAGCTGTTGCTGCTGGCAGGCTCGGCGCCCGTGGGCGATCCTTGCGGCATCACCGGCGGGGCCAAAGCGCCCGATGGTTGCTTGGCCTGGAGATGTGCCAGGTCGCTACAGCCACCGACATCCTAAAGTTGAAGAGGCTAGTTGCTAGTGAAGGGGATTTCTGTTGGGGTTCCGAAGGCTTTGCGGCAGAGAACTCAGCACATCAGCTCTTGTGCGGCTGCACCTGAAGCCATTCCAGCCGCCTCGGCCCAAAAAACCCGCGGCCTTGTGAGGCCAGTGGGACCCTCCGCCGGGCTTCAAGACCGGCGAGATCGGTTCCAACCTCAACGCTGCTTGGCTGCATTGTTGAGCGGTGAGGGGGACAAGGTGGAGGGATTCTTGGTTTTGCAGGAGCGTTGCAAGAGTTGGACTTTGGGTTCAGTCATTAGGTTTCGAAAGGCAGACCCCAAACCATAGGACCCCAGTCGCCCCCCCGACAAAGAAGGAGCCCTCTTCGCACTTGCTGTTAATCTGGCCCCCGCCCAGCAAACCCGCCCTTAACACAACCAGAGCCCCCCCCCCCCCCAACCTGCCCTTTACCCCCCCTTTAAAGCCCCCCCCCAAAGTCCGCAGGTTCTTCCCACCCTGCTACAGCAGACGGTCTGGAAGCCTGGCGCTCAGGCCACTTCGCGCTGTTGATCTGGAGGGGGGGTTTGAGGGTGAAGGGTGCAGGTGGGTTTTCGGGTTGGGGGTTGAAATATAGGCAGGACTTGAAGATGGGCGATCCCCCCAAACGAGGGGATCCGAAACTTAAGGCCTACTAGAACTTGAAGCTCACGATGGTCTGCTGGGCGGCAGCCATGGATTGGAGCATGCCATCAAGTCCCCTACCCCCTCTCCCCCCCCCCCCAAAAAAAAAGTTATAAGAGAGAATGAGCTTAGGAGTCCTCCTAAATTCCCAAATGCCCCCCGAAAAGCCTGAAAAGAGAGACTAGCAGGTGGAGGTCGCCTGGGGAGTGGCGGCGAACCATGGCGGTGGCTATCAATACCGGCTTTGCCCGGCGGGCATGACGGTTCCTCGCTGGCATTTTGTGCCGTTTTTGAGTTTTTGGAAGGAACGGAAGGGGGGCCAAGGGGGCCCCTGCGTGAAACCTTGGGGCTCTGCTCTAAACCTGGAACCTCCAACCCGCAAGTCCCGAGTGATTTGCGAGCGAGGCCTGCAAGAAATGCTGAGGGTTGCTGAGCTCGAAGCTTCGAGGGATCTGCTTGTTCAAGGTTTTGGAGCATTCAACCGCTGCCCCAAAATCTCAGCTATGAGTGCCCCCTTTCTTCTCTTGTTCTTCATGTTTGTCAGGGCTTCTCAGAAGGTCCTTCAAGGTCTGGGGCGACGCAACCTCCCCTCTCCTCCCCCCATTCTCTCCCCCTTCCATCCCCGCCCCCCATCAACGCTCAACACCTCTGAGGCGCTCACGGAGGAGTGCTTCCAGGAGATGCCCCTGGCCTTTGTGGGCGACAAGCAGTGGCTGCACCTCTCCCCTGTGTGAGGGCCGAAAGGGTACAAGTATCTTGTTGGGCTTTAGGGCTTGGGCTTCAGGGCTTCCCGTTCTCTTGATTCCTGATTGAGCGAGTGCTTGCCTTGTCTTTGTGGAGGGACTCATTGGAATTAGAAGTTTTCGTTTTGATTGGCCTGGCATGTTTGGGACTTTGGGACTTTGGGACTTTGGGGCTGATTCGGCAGCTTGAGATTCGCTGATCCAGTGATTCGGCGCTAGTGCTGAGGTTGTAGTAGACCAGTTCGTGCGCGCGTACATGCGTACATACGTATGTACGTTCGACGTACGTATGTACGTACGTTGCATGCGTTGCATATCTACTTTTACGTACGTACGTACACACACACATTCAGGAAATAGATCACCTGATCACATGGCTTGGTGAGTGCTTTGCACCCGTGCGGGTGGAAGAATGCGTATTTGGGCACTTGTTTCCGGCATGCAGCAAAGGGCAAGGTGCTTGTGTTTAACCGTGTTTTGAAGAGTTCAGGAGTTCGGGGTTTATACTGCCCGAACAAGTCCCTGATCATCGGTGGCATTTTTTGCAATCCTTGCTGGCGCTGCTAGGGAACCTGGGCCTGGGCACTAAACGGCCGTCGATTATCGCTCCATAGGTGGTTAACCATCTAATTTGGAATCGTTGCTGCCAGTGCCAGGCAGTTTGGGAATGGATTTGACAAGAGCAATCGCCTGGAAATCAAAGCCAAGCGCGTTGGTGGCAAGTGACCAGGCTGCTGAACAACTTTGCACTGAATCCTGTACCTCTGAACCTTAAACTGAAGTCGAAGATGCAGTGCACAACTGCCGACTAGAAGGATTCTGAAAGTTGACTGAGGTACGGTTGTTGAGGATCAGGTTTCAGGGCGCTTGTTCTGTGACATATCTCTTTTTGTTTGCGCGTTCCCGCGGCTTCTGCAGGGTTTTCGAACGTTCGGGAATGAAGACATTTGATCCAGGACTGGGACTGGTTGTTGTTTCAGAATGTAGTGGGGGTCAGCGTCAAGGATTTGGATTCTTGCAGGCTTCTCATGATACCCCAACGTTTCTAACTTCCCAATCGGGGCAGTTTAAGGCTCAGCGTTGAGGATCGCTAGTGCGGAAGAAACGTTTCTTCAGCAACGATCTTCTGCATCTACGATGCAACTGCCAAAGCTGGCCTCGGCCCCAGGGCCTCAACTCCCCCAAATCCCTAAGCCCTGGAGAGCCTTCAAGTGGCCCTAAGCATGAAAAACCCATCTTTGCAAGCCTCAGGAAAGTCTTGCCCGAGAACTCGACCTGGACGATGAATCCCATCCCAGGTTGCAAGGAGCCCCCAAGTTGTTATTCATTTCAGTGTTAAAGGCTTAAGGGATATGGATCAGCCCGGCTTCCCCTGCCACTCCTCCTGCGCGGTTGTTGTCTTGTTTTCTTGCGCGATCTCTCTGGGAAAGCGGCAGTTCATTCTTGTCACGCCATCACCTTTCGCCAGGAGAACGGCGGCCGAGCCAGGCTGGATGAGGATCAGACAAAGGGAGCTTTGGGGCTGTGAATGGCTCCAGTCCGGCATCGGCAGAATTTACAAGTACGGGGTCGAACCGGGTTTCAGCCTCCAGACGCAAGCGCCCTAAGCTTTCCTAAGCCCTCTTCTCGCTCCCACAGCCCCTGTGCAGGTCCAAGTGCCTGGGCCCAACCTTCACGCCAGCGCCGGGTAGTGACAAGATGTACCGCTACGGAGGCCCTGAGCTTGTTGCCCCGAACACCCGGAACCTCACCCCTCCTGAGCCATCGCCCCCAAAGCCTCAGAGCCCAAGCCGCTGAGGGTTTAGGGCCGAGTCACCGAAAGAACGCTGAAGCACAAAGGAGTTCTTCTTGCGGTTCAATTTGAACCTGAAATGGTTGCTATCCTTCCTGGTTAGAGGACGTTTTCGGCTTGGGGTGCGAGCTTCAGCGTCGAAGATCCTAAAGTCCACAGCTCAGGCCACCGTGCCTCTGTAGGTTTCTGGGCTCTTCTAGGAGCAGGGTTTTAGTGGAAGGTTTAGGGATGTTTAGGGTTTAGGCCCCGCTGTCCACACACCTTCGAAGACAATCTTGGCAGGCAGAACTGCGAAAGGGCGGCTTGGCATCACTCGAGTATCCGCATGTACCAGTAGCAAGTTTCATCCAGATCTTTTCTTTGGAGCCCTAAGCCCCAAGCTCGAAGAGGCCCCAAAAGCCTTGGAGTCTTCAACCTTGAATCCCGGTTCCCTCGGTTCTCTACATTATCCATTGAGTCCATTTTTCCATATTTTTTCTTGGAAGCTTAGAAGTTGCCCCTTTTGTATCGCTGGCTTCTTCGCGTTCCCGGAGCATTCGGCCGCAGGATCTATGGCTATGGCTCCGGGCGCTGCATGGGGAATCTGACACAGAAGCCCGAGGCCCTGTGGGTTTGGGGCGCTTTCCCGCGTCTCTACACTTCATAGACGTTACCTTTGAACCCTAAACGCCCTAAATCCCCGAAGTCCTAAACTTTAGCCTAAACCCCAAAACCCTCGAGCCTCAACCTTCAGACACCAAACAGAAACTGAAACCGAAAGCTCAAGAAACACCCACAGGCTTCCGAAGGCTCCGAGAGCTCAAGTCGACCCCCAACCCTGAAACCACCCAAAGACCCTGAACTTCATTCCTAAACTCCTCAGGCCGCGAAGGCTCGGAAACCACGCGCAAGAACTCCACAACCAACTTCCCCGGCCAGGCTTTCTGCAAGCCCGAGGTGGGGGGGACCCCTCTTCCCAAGCGGCTCAGGTGTTTCGAGGGTTCACTGTCCGGCTTCGCAAAACCTGAAGCCTAAAGTCCACAACCGCTGACGTGCTATGAAGCCCTGAAGCCCTAAAGCCCCAAACCCGGAATCTTGCTACCCAGGTCGAACAAAAAGGGCAAATCATGCCTTCCTCTGCCCTCCGGCCCTTGCTAGGAATGCAGCCTAAGGTCTGCAAGGGCTTAGTGGTCAAGCCCCCCGCGCCTGTGAAGGAGTACTACGAAGTCTCTTTCGACTTCGGCATCGTGGACTTAGTGCAGATTCCAGAAGATCTGCCAAACGGCAGCTGAGCCGGTAATTCCTCACACTAAGTTTGAGTTGAGAGGTTGGCGGTCGAGCCTTGGAGGGCCTTAGGTGTTGCCTTGATATCCCTCTGTTCCTTTGAGTCTTTTGGGTTGGTGTCGGGTGGATCCCTCAGGAACGAGCCCTACCAGTCATTTTACAACTCTGCAGCCCTCCAGCACCCAAGCCATTCTCGGCTCCTGCTTCACGGCTTCTTGTGGCTGAAGGCTGACATCACCCCACTCCCACACCATGAGCCCCTCGCCAAGCATTCAGAGCCAAGTAGAGAGCCCAGGCCACTATGTTCTCGGATTTCGGTGGGCTGCTCGGCCTTGACGTTCTACGTATCGCCTGAATTTATGGAGTGTGACCCCAGGCTTCGGGGACAAACTGTTGTTAGGGGTCGTGTATATCTCTTTTCTTTAGTCAGGTCTTAGCAGTGGTCGTTGTTGCATCCTTTTCCTGTTCTACAGCATCCTGAATTCTCTTCTCTCAGTCGTTCTGGCCGTCATGTTGTCGCCCTCGTTCACTCGCTTACTGTCTTTGTTAGGTGCTCGAAGCTTGCTTGTGAGGTAAAGCCCTGTTCTCAATCACTCTTCTTTTTGCTTTTCTATTGATTGTTCTTGAAGAGGGAAAAGAGAGTGAGAGAAGATGAGAGAACGCCTGAGAATTTGTTACGTGCTTCGGTTCAGACATTACAAGTCAAAATCGCTTTCAAACGTTTCTCCGCGTGAGTTGGGAGGCCTTGTACGGAATCACATGAAAGCTGTCGCACCTCTACATGAGCAGAGCACAAACGACCATCGTGCCCAACAGCCCCAAAGCCCCCAAAAGCAGGGTAGGAACGTCACAGCTTCGGGTCCTGAAACCCTATGAGCCCAGAAGCCAGATGCCGAATGTGAGGATTGCGAGATGACCAAGCAGATCTGGAGCAGCTGCGCAGATATCATCATCGATAAGGCCGTCTTGGGCTAGAGGGGCTGGGCCTTGAACCTGAAGCCCTAAACTCCTAAACCATCTTGAGTCTGTGCTGGGACTACAGTGACTACAGGTTTCAGGGACCTGGCAGCCCAAACAAATGGCCCCAGGTGCTCATCCGATCCCGAAGCTGCCTAAGACCACGAGGCCCAACACCTGGCCCCACCACTTGTGACAAAGGACGCAGACGCAACGCCCTCCTTCAGCAGAGGGACAGGCATCTTCTATGAGGGGGGCTTAGCTGGCAGGTTCAAGGTTCAGGGATCCATAAGCCCTAAGATTTTTAACAGCTCTAAAGCCTAGAGCCCTTCAAATCCGTAAGCTCGAAGTCCTCGGTTGCTATCAAACCCATGTCCCGGAAAGAATGTGTAGTCTTTGAGGTCGTTGAGGCTTTGGGTTTAGTTTCGTGTTTTCAGGAAAGGGTGAGGAGTGTTGGGAGTTTTCAGGGGTGTTGGAGCCTGAGGGGTTCGGCTTCTCTTGGCCCCGGGTCGTAGCCCAGCGCCCCAAGTAGCCCCCATGAAAGCTGCTAAGCACGACTTGCACCAACCGCAAGCCCCCCCAACGCCATGTCATCACCGTACGGAACACGCTAAGCCGATGAACTTCTCCCGGTCTTCCACCCTTAGTCCATGAAGTCTATTAAATATAGACCCTTAGACCCTTAGACCCTTAGACCCTTAGACCCTTTGCAGAATGCAGCGCGTGCTGCCCCGGTGGGCTTTGCGGGCACTGCAAGAAGTGTCGCAATGACAAGACAGGACCGCTCAAGCTGGCCCGACATGTAATGCTTGATATGGTTGAGAATGATTGATTCAGGTTCCAGGCTTTGGACATCAGGGATCTGGTGCGATTTGGTTGTGGATCTGGTGTAAGTGCAGGGCAGCTGGCAGCCGATTCAGAAACCAACTTCGGGTTTTTGAGGATTAGGGCTTTAGGGGTTTAGAGATTCAGAGCAAGTAATGCTTTTTCTTCTGTTTCATGCTTGCTGAAATCGCCACAGCGTTTCCAAAGCGTGCCGTATTTACCCAAGGTTGCCAGGCCACGATCAATCTTCAAGAAGAACAAGTGGATTCTGAATCTTCGCCGTTAACCTCAGCACATGCACCGCCCCAAACCCTTCAACTCTGGAGTCGTAAACCTCGTACCCCCAAGTTGCAAGAATGGCATGCATCCCTTCCAAGCCCTAAGCCAATCTTTGGTTTCGCGTAGGAGACTGTGCCAAGTGCTGGGAAGTGCAGAAGTGGTGGAATGGCCGCACCCCGACCACTTTAGGCTGAGGGTTGAGGCTTTGAGGATTCGTGGTTTAGGTGCTTGTCGGCTGCACAGCTCATGGTTTTGAGGCCCTTAAAGTAGCCTCAAATCCCAAACCCTGAATCCTTTCACTGGAAGCCTGGGAAAATTCAGTCACTTTCGAGGTTCTCGGGTTAGAGGTTCTGGGTTGAGGGAATGTGGGCTTGAGAACCTATGAGCTTTCGATGTTTCTCCTGCACTTTGCTTTGAATGTCGGGAATGAGCTTTGGCATTTTCGGAAGAATGACCACATGCCCGAAAGAGTTCCCATTCCATGCTGTAGGACTTTCGAAGCCGGCAGTGGTGCGCCTGTACTTTAGGTCCCGCGCGATCTCAGATCAAGAAGCCCTTCCCGAAACACGAACACCCCTTAAAGAAAACGTGTAAAGGCTTTGAACCCCACTTCTAAGGTACCTTCTGGACACCGCGAGCCAAGGCCTTGCAGAGTTGCCTTTGCCGAATGTCCGGGCTTGTGGTTGTTGTTATCCGGAAATCTCGCTCTGGGGATTCTGGCACGTGCAGCTTGAGGTTTGCGGTTCCTAGAACCCAGGGTGTTAAGCTGCTAAGCCTGTTAAGCCTTTTGACAGGCTCCAAGGCCTTGAGTTTCGACTCGTGCTGACAAAGTCGAGGGGTGCTGTTACAAGGAACGGAGCCTTTACCGCCCAAGCCTTCCCTCGAGGCTTTGCAGTGTTTGGGCGGAACGACAGAGGACGCCGAAGAGTCGTTGGGTGATGGGATTCATCCATGCAGGGCAGCCCTGCTTGCTTCAAGACCCATCAACTGAAAAGAGGGCGACTCCATAGACCCAAACCGCACCTTTGTCCTTAAATGTGTGGGGGGCGGGGGTTCACAGCTTTAGCGGAGGGGCCGATGATGTTCTCGGAGGCTTGTGGTAGGCGACGCGGGGAGGGGGGGGGGTCGGGGGGGGAGAGGGAGGGGGGACTTAAACACGTTGGCCGCTAGCCACACGAATAGGCCTGAGTTCAAAACCCTCAACCCGAAACCCCCTGACCACCTGACTGCTCTGAACTGCGGTCCTGCGTGGAGGAGTACTTGCCAGGCCAACCGTTGGAGCCGGCGTGGTCGCCAAGCGCCTCTGCTTGACGAAGCCTGGGGGTCCGAACATTATGGTCCCTTTTTGGAGATCCTTGGAATCTACTTGTGAAATCTTATACGGTGTAGTTGAGGGTGTGTTTGGCCGGCCCTTTGCCGCTGATGTGTCTGGCGACGCACATGTTGTTTTGGACCACTCCCATGAGGCCATAGCTACACTGCCATACTAGCTTCGCTTTGATCTGTCAACAGCGGCAATCACCGTTTAACCCAAATCCTGAGCCCAAAATCCTCAACCTTCAATGCGACATCCCCCCAAAACCCGAGAAGCCTGTGAGGCTGCGAGAAGTGCTGGGATGATCCCAAGGGCGGCTTGGAGGGGTTTAGGACTCCTTCAGGTTTCGGGCACCCATCTACACATATACAAAAAGAGGAAAAGAATGCAATAAGATAGAACAAGATTGAAAAAATGCAACAGACATAATGTAGTCGTTATTATGCCAGATATTTTTAATTTTCTATGTGATGCCCCAGGCCCAAAATACCCCAAGTCCCAATCGTTGGCATCCCAGCATATCCCAACCCCCAAAGGCCCTCACCAAATGCCAATATGATGCGCCCGCTCCATAAACCATTGCACCCAAGGAGTTTTTCAGAGTCTTTAGGGTTTAGGGGTGCCTTTCCTCCTCTTTCTGGCCTGCTGTGCCTGCCCGCCTTTTTGGCTAGCCTCGCTGGGGTCCATCGAGCCTGCTGTTCTGCAGCGGTGTGTAATGTTGCATAGTCTGCCGCTGCCCCCTAAATTTGATCCAGATGCCCTGGGCCTCGCGTGCCTGAGCGGGTCTCGAGCTCCTGTTCAGACCGGTCAGGTCACTACCAGTTGTGTTTCTGCAGCCAATGTAGCTCATCGATTTTGAGCAAAGTTGCAGCTCACTCTGTGGAGGAGGTTGTGCTACCGATCCGTATCCTGCAAGACCAGAACTCGGAATCCGAAGCCCTAAGCCGAAATCCCGAGAGGCTAAGCGAAAGTGGGCCCCGCCTGTCTACCCTGAACTCCCGATGGGAATACCTATGCCAATGCTTTATGGTATAGCAGAACCCCGGGCAAGGCTGCGAAGCTCGGGCACGGGGACCTGACAAAGCGATCATCAAGCCGCCCCTTTGCCACTGTCTAGGCTTTAGGCGTTTAGGGCTGCAGAGTTTGGGTGTTAGGTTTCGGGTTTAGGGGGTGTAGACTTTCAGGATCTTTGAAGTATTGGGATTTGAGAGCGTTTGAACTTCGGGTTCTGGGAGGTGGAGCTCGAGGTTGAGGGCAGGTAAGCAGGATTAGGGCGTTTGTGGGTGCCACCATCCATCAACCCCTGCCGAGATGCACGCGACGCGAGCTGACAGCCACAACTTAAATCTTGAGCCCTTCAACCCTCAGCTCCTAAGCCCAAACCCCCCCTAACCGCAAACCTGAATTAACACAGGCCTCCAAAGAATATAAAGAGACCTTCAGACCCGAGACATCATCAGGAACAAGATTACCCGCCCCGACCTGATGTTCTGGGGCGTCATCGGTCTGGCGATCATCGCCTTCGGGCTGAGCATGCTTCTGTTGGTGAACGCGGCTTGGCCAGGACCTAGCCAAACCGGGGCTTAAGCCTTTAGGACTTCAGACCGTGCCAAGTAAACCAGGGCCTGTTGGGGTCATCGGCTCGAGGCCTGCCGGAAGCCCCCTGCTCGCTCACTCGGCGGTGTTGGTATGGCGACGGGGCAGCATGAGTCGAACCAGGAAGGCAGACATTCATGATTCATCAGAAGGCTCAGTCCCAGACGGTGTAGGAGTGGATGAATCCAAGGAGATGCGAGTTGCATGATCCCAAAGATTTGGATCCTGAGCCGCGAAGCAACGCGCCTCGCTTGGAGCCGGTTGCTTCAGTGTTGGTTTCGTTTTACTTTGGGGTTTATCAGACTAAACTGGGTGGGGGTGGGGTTTCAGCTTGTTTTGTTGGGTCTCTTTGGGGCTCAGGGTTTCAGATTGCCTCCTTTTCATTCGGGAGCTTCGGCTTTTAGGGCTTCGGGCTTCTAAACCCGCAAAACAACCCAAAGCCATTCTTTCTTTCCATTGAGTGTGGGTTGCTGTGGTTTGCGCTGGTGCTCTGTCGGTGTGGTGGGCTGACCGGCACACCCTAGAGACCCTTCATTTGAAACGCTGCTCGGAACTTAACCCCCCAAAACTACAATTCCGACCATAGGAGAGGCTGCTGTGAAAGCGGCAAAAGGCAAAAGTTTGGGGGAGTTCTCAAGCTCTGAACATCCCATGTTGGACGAATTCTGGGTTTCCGGTGCAGGCGTTCAGGATTCCGAAACATGGAGTGCATGTAGGCACGTAGGATGCCGTTCGCGTATGTTCGCGTGTAGAGTTGAACGGACACCCCCCCTGTTCTTCGTAAACGTCCCCGTCCGTGCGAGCCTGCTCTGTCGAAAAGACGAGTGGTGGCTTGAGTCGCCAGCAGGAAAGACTGCGATCCATTGAGACATTCATGACAATTCAGTACTTTGAAGTCGAAGTAATCCGGTACCGCTCCAAGCTTGTGCCCTATGTGTTTTTGATCCCGGAGAACCAGCTTCTTTCCTTCTGAGCCATGCGCGGAGCACGTGTTCCATGGTCTTGCCGCTGCGCTTCTGGAAAAATATATATATATATATATATATCTATACATATGTATATATATACATACATATATATATATATGTATATTCAGAATTTCTTCATGCCGTTAAGCACCATCACGATGGGTTGGCATGAGCTCAGTGGCTGCGAGCATGGAAACCCTTCGCCGAATGTCTGAGGGCGCCATGCTTCGAGATGAGCCATGTTTGGGATCTGTCAAGAGAGGAATGCTCTAAACTCAACGGCGGTCCCGACAATAAGGGGGAGCTGGCATCCTAAACCTCAAAAAGTGCCCACGGCTCTCCGTAAACCCTGAGGACCCCAACCCCCCTTATCCTTCACAAGCCCTTCAGACTAGCCTGGAAATTGCGATTCCTCTGCGCTCTCAATGCACATCTTGAGAACTTTTTCATGCACAACTCTCTTCTCCCCCTTTTCTCCGTCTTTTTCCCTCTCTCTCCCTCTCCCTTCTCCCTTTCCCCGTCCCCCCCCCTCCCCTCTCCCCTCGCAGGCTACATGATGCATTATTGCCATTGCGTCGGGGTCTTCTATAGCAAATCGGGCACACAGGCGCATCTCGACCTGGCATCTGTTCAACAGAACGCTTCTCCCTATGTGGATGCGCAGAGACGGCTGCCTGCGCGCAGTGGCAGCCAATAAAAAGGGAGGAAACGCTGTGCCCCAAGTACCCTATAAGCCCTCAACCACCACAGAGGTTCGGAGTTCCAGAGCTGTTCTTATTCTTGGGGCCTTTTGGGCTGCAGTTGATTGGGGGGTTGTGGGGAGTCCTGGCACCCCAGCTAAAAATTCCCGTGCAGGCCTTCAAGGCCTGGGATGAAGACAGCTCTGGCTGGATTGCAGCCTGCCTGAAGATGCTAATATAAGGGCAGCTAGAAAGAAGCTTTTTTTTAATAGAAAGTTTGGGGCAAGGGCTTGACAACACCAGGCCAAGGCTTCCTGACATCCTCTAGACTCCAATGCGAACCTTTTTTTCCCGGAGCTTCCCACAAATCCCAAGCCCAGCCCCGAAAACTCCCCCCAAACTCCCCCTTCCCCAACCCAACCGCGAGGCCTTAAGCTCAAAGCCCCAAACTCCTCAGCCCATCCGGTTTCGGCTCGCTTCGGCTCGCCTGCAAGCCGAGGACGTGGGCGAGCTGCGCCGCGTGCTGAAGGCCCACGTAGGGACTGAGGGTTGAAGAGTGGCGCTGGTTTTCGAAGGTGCTTTGATGAAGGTTTTTGGGGTTTCAGGGTGGCTTTGGAGTGCTAAGTACGGGCTTGAGAGTAGTTGCGGGTTCCCGGTTTGAAACCCAAAGTCTCTACACACCAAGACCATAGTCAAACCGAAAGCCTCAGCTCCCTAAACCCTCAACCGTCGCAACCCCTTAAGCGGCTCCAATTGCCCTGAGGCACTATGTTGTAAGGCACCCTCAAGGCCCCGAACATTTCACAGCCGAGCTCGGGCCCAGCGAAGCATCCCCCAAACTGACCGCACCTGACCGCACCGAGGCCATTATGCCCAACTTCTCCGACCGTGACTTGAACGACCTCCTCCGGGTCATCGACACCAACGGCTCACTGGGCCGAAGTATTTCTCTTTGGGGGGCCCTTGTTGCTATCGAGTTTCGGATCCTGCCTCTTTAGGATGCCTGGGACTGAGACAGGGGATCCATCACTTGGGCACCCAGTCCGAGAGCCCAAGTCTGGTAAGCCCTGCAATCACAAACGTCCCGTAAGTCCTCCGACCTTGGACACGATGGAGCTGAGGCAACGGCGTTGTTGAGTACGAAGAGTTTTGCCACTGGCTTGTCAAGGAGGGGCTCTTTGAGGGTGTTCAAACGCTTGGCATTTCAAGTTGAGGGAGTTGGGAGTTGCTGAACCCATTCTCCCTGAAGATTTCTTCGGAGTACCTCTCCATTTATTTCCAGTACATTTTTGAAGCTTGGACTTAGGGGTTGCACTGCGACGCGGTGCGGCACACCCGGCACAACGGAAACAACCTCTCAGCTTTCTGGCCTCACGTGCGCAGGAGAATCCCTTGGACTTCTCCAGCAGCACCTTCTCTGCTTATGTGTCGCAGCTCATGCGCGAGGCCCTACGTCCCAAATCCCCGGAGCACGTTCAGCCCAAACCCTGAAATCGTAAGCAGACCTCGACACAAGTCACGGCAAAAGGTAATCATCTTGTTAAAGCTTGCCGGCTCGAGAGCTCTGCTTGCTGCAGGCCGGTCAGGCCAAGGACAAGGCGTCCATGATCGTGGACGAGATCCAGGTCATGGCTTTCGGAGAGGGCTTCGGGCTCCAGACCTCAAGTTGTCCCCCCCAATTTCCAAGAAACACTCAAACACCCTCTGAGACCTCACTGGCATGGCCCCAAACCGCCCAAGAACAGGATGTGCCCCACACCTAAACGGCCCCGAAAAATTTTATGGGGTTTTGGCTCAGAGTTGCCCTGAGTTACCCTGCGTAGAATCCACAGGTCCGGGACGACGGAGTCTACTTCCGCCTCCAGCCTGGGGCCCACAAGCATGCCGAAAGCCATATCAAGATAGACTTTTGGCACTCATGGTTTGGATCCATAGACTGCTTGTGGAATCTCTCAAAAAGAGAGAAATCCATGCCACGTAGCCGCTCCAGTGGTGAACTCCGCCTTGGGGAAACGCGCTTGGAGTTGTCAACCTCGCAACCACGACACTATGACCCTGAATGTTCAAGACCCAGCTCACAGTAATCAGCCAGCAAGCGTGTGGCTCTGCCCGGTAAGCTCTGTAAACTCTCGCATCCTTTCGGCAGAGCTTGGGGCCAAATCTTGGCTGAGGTGCGGTACTGTTCGCCTGGAGACGACGACCTTTCGCTGGGACCGTCAGCTGTTGGAGCTGCAGGGTTTTGAGTGTTGAGTGGTGTAGGGGTTCTTCGTCGTGCTAAGCCCGCGACCAAAAGTGCTTTAGGGCTGAACATTGTGATCTTGTGTAGGGACGGCCATCAAGCCTTCTGCCCTTCAGCACAGTAAGATACTCAATGGCGAAGCTTGCCCGGGAGTCCTCCCAAGCATTCCAGAGTTTGTTGTGGGGTTCTGGTGGGGCCGAGGCGCGGATTCGTTGCAGCTGACAGCGTTGGAACCAGAGGAGTTCATCAGCCGCTTCGGTTGGATTGGGTCCTAAGCCCTACAGCGGCCCTACCCCGCTGGTGCAGTCTTTTCACATTTCGTAACAAGCCCTTATCGGGGAAGAGGTGCCGCATCGGAAGGCAAGTGGGGGGGAGCAGGATTCCCTTGTGAATCTCAGAAATCGATGGATTAATGTTCATGGCATCCACAACTATGTCGTCAGGTTTCCGACAGCCGGATGCCCTGAAACCCTTAACCCTCGCACTTAAAGCTTCAAGCCCTTAAAGCCCCAAGAGTTAAGCATCAACACCCTCATGCTGTTGAGTCCTTGTAAGGCCGCAAGTCTGCAAATTACCGTAAGCAAATCATCCGAACACTCCCCCTCCCCCACCCCCCCTGTCCACCCAAAAACTGAGGAAGGACGAGGACACCCAGCAAACGCGACTGTAGCAACACAAAACAGAAAAAAAAGGGAACCCCCAATCAACAACCATGTGCTGCGCTCAGACAAAGTGGAATGCGTCGAGGCCGGATCTTGCCACCCACCTTCACCAAGGGCTTCTTTTAGGAAAGGGGCATTTAGGGGCTTCTGTTGGGGGCTTGTTAGGACCTTTCTAGGGGCTTTTGTGGCGGCTTTGAGGGGTTTTAGGGGCTTCTTTTACAGGGTTTCGGGGCTTCAGGGGCTCAAGGTTTCGGATTTGTCTACCTGCAGATTCTTTTTGAGCAGACGACGGATCTCCAAATCTGCTTCGAAGTTGGGGGGAAGATGTTTTTTGTGAACGTCCCACAGCGAAGCCCTGAAAACAGGGCGGCCTCGAGATTAGCTTCAATACTGGCCGCCGCGGCCCTGGATGCAGGGAATGCAGGTTTGTGGGGTTTTGAAGGAGAGCCCTCTCTGTAGCCATCAACAGAATCGGAACATAAGAGGAAGTTTCACGAACGCTCCTGTCAGGAACCGATGTTCTGTTTCTAGAAGATGGCTGCGATCAAGTCCATGCGCTTGAGGATAAGCGGGAGTCAAAAGATCGCCTCATGTTTGGAGTTGATGGAGCTTGTAACCTTAAAACCCTGCGCTGTGCACCCTCAACTTGTCCTGTACCTCAAAACCCTACACCCTCAGCATCCCTCAGCCACATCCCAGGCGTGACAACGCTGGAGGGCAAGGGCCCTCTCTTCGGGCCCTTTGAAGCGCAAGGGCCTCAGGAAAGTTCTTTACGCGCTTTTTCTCTTGGACCACTCGAAGGCCTAGGGGCCTTTTGAAGGTGTTGACAGAGTTGAGTTATATGGAGGTTATGTGGGGGTTACATGGGGGTTACGGGGGATGACGTGGGTGCCAGGCCGTTAGGGTTCTACATCGACGGCCTGCGTGTGAAGCCTTTGGACGCCGCAGATGCGGGGGGCTCAGGCAAAGTCTCAAAACCCTTCAGTAAGTGTTGAGGTGTTGGATGGTAAAGTCTAAGCCCAAGCATCCAAAACTCTGAACTTTCAAGCATGAAGCCCCATTTTCGCGGGAGATCTTCAGGTTGCAGGAAGATAATTACAGGGTTCAGGGTTTTGCCCCCAAAGACCTCAGACCCACAAATTCCAAACCCACCCCCTCCCCAACCTTCAAATGTCCACGTCTTGAAAGTGGAAGGAGTCGGGTGCCCGAGACTACGTCACGGGAATTGCGGGCTCCCCAGTCGGCTGGGGCACGGCCGGGACATGGCCTGAAGATGTCGGGCAGAGCCGATTTACAGGCTGCTCCGGAGGGGCTGAGAACCCCAACAGTGCACATCAATGAACATCTGTAGAGTTCAGAAGTTCAGAGGGCTTGGAACTCTGGCTAGTTGAGACTTCGCTGAAGGGTCTCTAGGGATGACGGGTTTCGAGTCTGGCGTTTCGGCTTCAACGTTTCTCCGTTCAGAGTTCGACTTGGAAGCTTCGAGTTGAGAGGTTTCTTTCGGAGCTGAATTTTGCAGGTGGCCTCAACTCGGAAGGCACCACCTGCCAGCCTTGAGGCCACCAAAATACATGCCCGGCGCCCTTAGTGTAAAGCTTGAAAAAGCTTGAGTAGCTGTAGCTTCCGCATGTGCCCTGCTCCTCCGAGGACCTGGCCCCCCTGCCCCATGCCGCGGAGTACGACGGCCCCACCGCGTTGCTGTACACGGCGGAGCAAGAGCCGGGGGCCTCGAAATGCTCGGCTTGAGCACGGCTTGCAAGGATGCCGGTGAAGGCCTTCACATTCCGGGTCGGTGTTGGCATTCATGGGTTTACCCTCAGGCTACAGTGCTGACCTCTTTTTCAAAGGGTCTTATCAATCCGATGTCCCAGGCCAGTTGCTGTTCCGTAGCGGGTTCTTAGGCACTCCTAGAACACAAGAGCTCCGGCTCAGGTACCTCCGGTCCTTGCGCGAGATCCTCGCCAAGGCTCGGCCCGGGCCAAGAAGCTCTTAGTGCCCGACTTGTGTGGACTTGTGTGGACTTTCGGGGGTTCGATGCAGACATGCCTGGAAGCGTTCGTCATCATCACGGCAAGAGCCTTCGCAGTTTGAGGTTGTTTGCAACGGCCGAATCCTCAAACTTGACCTCCAGTGTCATTCCCACGCGCAGGCCGCTGTGGACGTCAACTGTTTCGGAGCCGGAGGCTTCACAGCATCTGTGAGCCCAAACAGCTCAATGTTTACGAAGCCTTCGGAGGGCGCTGAACCTTTTGGCACTACGTTGAGAGGCTGCTGCTTCCCCAACCCAGGGTTCGAGGTTTCGGGTTTACATCCGGAGGCCTGCGGCGGCCCCAGAAAAATGCATCCTTGAGCCCTGAACTCTAAACCATAAGCCTGCCCCCAAGTCTGACCCCTGGCTCTTCAGCCCTCTCCCCAAACAACCCCAAGCCAACCCGAGCATCCCCTCTCCATCTCTTTCCCCCCCTCTAAACACGCACAAAACAAAGGCAACAAGAAGCAGAAGCAAAATACAAAAAAAGCCACCTAACCCACCACCTCCTTCAAAACGCAGGCGCCACTGCGCTGATGCTCGCAGCCTCCCGGGGCTGCACGGGCTCCATGCGGATGCTCATCAGCTCGAAGGCAGGCGCACTCTTAAAAACGCGCCTCATTTTTTTTTGTGAAGGGGCAAACTGGGAAAGCCCCCCTAACACCTTGATTGAAGGGTGTTCCGACCGGACCCTTCTTAGATCCCGTGGAGATGCCAGGGCGCGATGCATCCCGTCCACTTTCCGGGTTCAGGCTTCGAACTCACAGCGCTTAGGTCCTTCTTGCGGCAAAAGCACCTTTGACCCAAACACCACCCTTACCCCCAAACCCGCAACAGTCCTGGTGGCAGATAGGGGTTGGGGTTGTGGGCTTATCTAGAATCCCGACTCTCACGTTCTTGCGTTAAGGTTCTGACGTCACCCCCCAAGATTAACCCAGTGATACATCGTTGTTCGCGCGAGGCCAACCCGAATCTTGCGGATTCCGATGGATGGACGGCGGGCCTTGATTCAGAGCAGTTGGAGATTCAGGGTTGAGGGCTTCATACGGGACTAGGGTGGTTGGTGGGTGAGCTTGCAAGCCTTTTTTCATGCCAACGGGAAGCATGTCAGGAAGACACTCCCGATCCGCAGAACTGATCCCCGAGTCCAAAGAGCTGTGCATGTGTTTCCTCGGACAGGCGCTGACCTACGCCTGCCGATGTGGCTCCCCCGAAGCCGTGCAGGCGTGCACTTCGCTGCACTTCACTAGTGACTAGTGCTTTGTAAATGAAGTTATGAGGAGCTTGCACGGCAACCAATGGGGTGCCAAAAATACGAACAGAGCAAGCCGATCATTAGAAGGCAAGACGAGTATGCACCGTCTGCGCGAAGGGTTTGTAGATAAAACACAAGCGAGTACAAAAGGAAGAGCAGCCATCGATATTGTTTGAGACAGACTCCCCCCCCCCCCCCCCCCCCCCCCCCCCCCCCCCCCCCACCCCCTACCCCCACACTGCTAGATCTGGTAGATCCTCGATCTGGTAGATCCTCAACCGAAAACACCAAGAGCCCCATGACGAGGTTGGCAGGGATGGGGGCATGTTGCATGCAGGCTTGCACAAATTGGTCTTAGGGTGTAGAGTTTCTGGCTCTAGTTTGGGGCTCTCAGGCCAGCCCTTGTCATTGTGACGCCCTCCCATCTCAAAGTCCACGTCCCTTCGGCAGAGGCATTGCTGGAAAAGGGCGCCAAAGAAGGCAACAGGGCTTCCTGGTTTTTGCAGGAGGTTTCAGTGATTCAGGATCCGAAGCCAGTGAGACGCTTCTAAGGCTTCATCGGGGGAGGTTGCTTCTCGACACCCCAAACCCAAACCAACCCCTGGACGCAGAGAGCCGAATGCCCCGAATTTCTGGTCACAAGGAGAGGGAGACGGTGGTCGTGCGCTGAAAGAGGCATCGCACCACCAAGCAGTGCAGGGTTTCGGGTCGGGGACATTGTGCCATTGTGGCTCAGGACACAGTTGCAGAGCCTTTCTTGCTGCGATTACGGATGCTCCATGCAGGTATGCATTAGCAGATAATTGCTTCGAATCCTTTAGAAGTGTCCACAGCCTGCATTCATGCACGCCGCAAAGCCCTAAAGCCTACACCGCCTATCTAGTACCCGCACCCTGCCT